CATGGACCAAGTGGCCTACGAAGAATCGTGCTCGAGCTGCCAGGACATCTTCAAAACTAAAGGTTCTGTATCCGGATGTCAACACCATGCTGGTAGAGGTCGTTTGTCGCGCTTGGGCAACGCGCGATTCACACGCGCAGGACTATATAAACTGCATGAGCCGCATCAAGAAACGCAACTTGGCCGGTTACGTCCCGAGCCCCGAGTCGATGTGTAATCCGCTGGAGCTGGTGAACATTCGTACGTACCTTTTGGCGACTAACGATCTAATTGGCTGGAAACTGTGGACCATGATACTATTCCACATACGCCTCTTCCTGCGTGCGGACGAAGGTGTTGGCTTCACGTCCAGCCAGTTCCTGCGAAGGTTAACGTCGGTGGATGGATTTGGCGCTGTCACCATGCTTGCCGTTACTATTAGCGGCAAAACCGACAAGAAGAAACCGATCGTGCTCACTATGTATCGCGACGACCAGTGTCCTCAGCTATGCCTTGTGCGAACTCTATTAGCCTGGCTCAAATTGTCTCAGCATTCTGGCGAAGGCAGCTTGTTCCCGCACGACGACGATCCAACCAAGTTCTATCCGGCGGCGAAGTTTCAGGTCAAGTGCCGCGAAATATGTATGAAGGTTACTGGGCGACAAGGCCCATTTGCAACGCACTGGCTGCGTAAGACTGGCTGGCTTTTAGGCACTTGGGGCGGCGCATCGGATGTAGACATGCAACACGCATCACGCCACAAGACACTTGAAATGGCTGGTCGCTACAAGCAAGACGCACAGTCCCTTCTTGAGATAGCACGAAATCAACGGTATGAATCCATAATTACTTGTACTAACATCTTGCATGGTAGCGACAATCGAGTATTACAGTACATCCCCAGGTGGCGGTCAGTATATGTTGCTAACTTACAAGCTGCCGCTGGTGTCAACGTCGACTGTTCAACTGACACGCTGCCCACCCTGGCAGCCAACTTTTTTGACGACATGGTGAAGGCAGGTCATTTAGCCGAAGCCGATCTTTCAAACCCTATTGTTGTGGCCAATGCGTGCCTCGAAAACACGCGCGGGTGGGACCTCAAGACCGAAGTCGAAGAACTACAAAAACAACTAGAAAGCAGACTTTGCGGGCGACGGTCGGCGTTTGGTCCAGCTACTTAGACAATATCACTCTTCCACAACCGCCATTCACCCCCCCTGCGATTTGGATATCGATCCTAACGTGCCAACGCCACAGTCAACCTCGAACGACCTAGAGTCCGAATCATTTTCGATGGACACATCTGCAAACGGTAACACATCATGTACCAATTACAGTGATGATATTATGC